GCACCCCATGAAGGCTCCTAGAGCAACCCCAAACTCAGGGCAGAGAGAGATAGGCTCAACCCTTGGGATTGGCAGAGGGTGGGGTGGAGGGGGTGCAGCTATATAGAGAGGGTCTCTTCTCATCTGTTACAAACACAGACTCAGTCTCATCTGATGCAGTTCAGTTGGCTGGAAAATGATGGAAAGTTTAACAAGCTCAGCCTGGTGGCAGCGAAGAGGGAGCTGAGGTTATATCCAGCATCACTCCTTCCCTTCAGGGCAGACTGGGGGCCAGGTCTTTCCCTGGAATTTGGCTGTGGATTCTAGAGAGCTTCTGACTTTGTGGGCTTTAAGCTGGCTTCCCATAGTGACCCTCAGGTATGTATATATGTTTTACTATACTTTAAATTCTGGGGTACCTGTGCAGACCTTGCAGGACTGTTGCATAGGTACACACATGCCATGGTGGTTTGCTGCCTCCATTGCCCTGTCATGTAAATCAGGCATTTCTCCCAGTGTTATTGCTCCCCAACCTCCCCATCCCTCACTATCCCTCCCCTAGCTCCCAACCCCACAACAGACCCCAGTGTGTGATGTTCCCCTCCCTGTGTCCATGTGCTTTTATTGTTCAACACCTGCCTATGAGTGAGAACATGGGGTGTTTGGTTTTCTGTTCTTGTGTCAGTTTGCTGAGAATGATGGTTTTCAGATTCATCCATGTCCCTACAAAGAACATGAACGCATCATTTTTTATGGCTGCATAGTATTCCATGGTGGATATGTGCCACATTTTCCTTGTCCAGTCTATCATTGATGGGCATTTGGGTTGGTTCCAGGTCTTTGCTGTTGTAAACAGTGACACAATGAACATAAGTGTTCATGTGTCTTCATAATAGAACAATTTATAATTCTTTGTGTATATATATCCAGTAATGGGATTGCTGGTTCAAATGGTATTTCTATTTCTAGATCCTTGAGGAATTGCAACACTGTTTTCCACAATGGTTGAACTATTTTACACTCCCACCAACAGTGTAAAAGTGTCCCTACTTCTCCACATCCTCTCCAGCATCTGTTGTCTCCAGATTTTTTAATGATCGCCATTCTAACTGGCATGAGATGGTATCTCAATGTGGTTTTGATTTGCATTTCTCTAATGACCAGTGATGATGAGCATTTTTTCATATGTTTTTTTGTCACATAAATGTCTTCTTTTGAAAAGTGTCTGTTCATATCCTTTTAAGCAAAAAGAACCAAGCTGGAGGTATCACACTACCTGACTTCAAACTAGACTACAAGGCTACAGTAATCAAAACAACATGGTACTGGTACCAAAACAGAGATATAGACCAATGGAACAGAACAGAGGTCTTGGAAGTAATGCCACACAGCTACAATTATCTGACCTTTGACAAACCTGACATAAACAAGCAATGGGGAAAGGATTCCGTGTTTAATAAATGGTGTTGGGAAAACTGGCTAGCCATGTGCAGAAAGCTGAAACTGGACCCCTTCCTTACACCTTACACACAAATTAACTCCAGATGGACTAAAGATTTAAACATGAGACCTAACACCATAAAAACCCTAGAAGAAAACCTAGGCAACACCATTCAGGACAGTCATAGGCAAGGACTTCATGACTAAACCACAAAAAGCAACGGCAACAAAAGCCAAAATAGACAAATGGGATCTAATTAAACTTAAGAGCTTCTACACAGCAAAAGAAACAATTATCAGAGTGAACCGGCAGCCAACAGAATGGGACCCTCAGAGATATTAAGGGAGTTCTCCCATCTTCCATTTTCTACCTTCAGGTTTTCATTTTCTAAAAGTTTTATTTTTTAACAATTGCCATGACAGCAGCTCCGAGTGTGTCAAAGACAACAAAGAGTCCAGGGGTGCTCCTTGGAAGAGAAATCATTCTAAATTGCAGATCCAATCCCATCATTTGCTTCTCTCCTGCTCCTCCCACACTGAGGAATCTCGAGATACCTTTAGGAGATGTCCAGACTCCTTACAGCGCCTGCAATCCAGTACCCAGCCATGGCCTCCTTTTTCAATCTCTTTGCTCACTAGCCCTCCCTCCTGTCCTCTGTTCCAGCTAAACTGAGCTTCTTTCAATGGCATAGACTATGGCAGTGTTTGTCCCTCCCAGGGTGGAGGGCAAGCAGCCTGGACATCTATTCCTTACCCCGTCCCCTGGCCAGCTCCTCTTCCTTCTGTTCAGACATGGCTTCCTCCAGGAACTGCCTCCTGCCTTGGGCATTGGGTCTTCCCTGCTCTCTTTACATGCTCAATACCTCAACTTGTGTGTGGCTAAGAAAACATACCAGGTATTTTAAGATCACAAATTTGCTTGTTTACTTCCCCACTAAAACAGTTCTAATAGGACAGGGGTGGCTGAAACCCTTGACACCTATTATTAAATGATGGGTGAATGGAAACCTGTTCACTTTGGAGCTCTCTGGGCTTCTGGGGGAGCCACAAGGTGGTGGCTACTAACATTTGTACTTTCTAATGGGGCAGTGCTTAGTTTCACCTCCCTTTTCTCTGGTATCTGACTCCTATAATTGCTTTGCACACACAAAGCCACTGTGCTGCTGGAGGGAACTCCAGCCTCTTCAGGGGCTCTTGGAAGGTCTGAAATTCAGCATTTTTGTTTTGTCTCTCAGTATTTGTGCGAACAAGGCACCCTGGGGAGCATTGCTTCTATGCTTCAGAATAATGGCTTGCAAAGACTCCCTAGGGCAGGCTTGAATGAGAACAACTCACTTGATTTTTTTGCTATCAGATTTTTTCTGCTACTAGCAGTTGATGAAACCTTTCCAATTCTGCAGTGAGATCTGTGGGGAGAGTGGTCCTGTGGCTACCCAAAGGCTACCCCATTGGCTGAGCTTCTGAGCAGGGAGGGGGTGGGCTGGGAGGACACAGGGCTGGCTCTGCTGCTCACAGCCCTTCTGCTGGGGTGGGGGTGGTAGCAGGTGTGGGGATGAAACAGCTGCTCCCCTTAGCAAGTTTGGGAAATAAAACACTGTTGACGTTATGGTGCAGACCAAGATGAGAGGCTACTGTGGAAATTTCAAAGCCAGTCCCTGAAGGACGTAGGCAAGGTCGGCCTAAGGTGGCAGCTACTTGAAGCAATTCATCCCCTGAAACTCATGGTGCTGACCTCCCCGGGTCGTGTTCCTTAGGATGTTAAAGTGGTTAACTTTTAGCCCTAGGCCTTTGCAGGCAGCAAGGTTACCATGTGCTTGATTTTGAACTGAACGGTCTGGTGTTGAGATTGAAGTCTGGTGGAAAAAATACTGAACATATAAAGATTTGTTTCCTTCTTTTGAGACTGGAGTACAGTGGTGTGATCTTGCCTCACTGCAACTTCCGCCTCCCAGGGTCAAGAGATTCTCCTACCTCAGCCTCTCAAGTAGCTGGGATTACAGGCGCCCACCACCATGCCTGACTAGTTTTTGTATTTTTAGTAGAGACGGGGTTTTACCATGTTGGCCAGGCTGGTCTCAAACTCCTGACCTCAGGTGATCGACCCACCTTGGCCTCCCAAAGTGCTGGGATTACAGGTGTGAGCTACTGTGCCCATCCCATCCTAGTTTTTTTTTTTTTTCAAATTAAGAAAGGATTTTATTTTGGCATAATGTGACTTCTGTATATACAACCAGTGTCTTCAAATGCCAAATATAAACTGTAGTGGTAATAGTTGCCAATTTGCTGTCCATCTCTGTCTTTTTGGTTTGGCGTGCACATATTGTATCAAGAGTGACTGGTATATTTTTTTGTTGTTGAGAGCCATCTGTCACCTCTAACAGGAAAGGCATAAAAACCCTACAGCAAATTCTCCCTTCTAATAATCACTTGCTGGTGATAGTGGGACATGTGAATTCCAAATGTTGATATTTGGAACCGAGTATTTGTGGTGCTTTGCTAGGAATGTACTCTATGTATCTTTATTAAATAATAATAAAGTTAATTATTGGTGAGGAAATAAGAGATGAATAAAGGAAAAGAGAATTTTGCTCTGTCTCCTTTAGGGGAGAGAGAAGAGCTCTGGGTCTGGGAATTAGAACTGGGAACTTCTGGCTGGAGTCAGAGATCAGAGATCTGCAAGAGCTAGTGAAGACTTGGTTAAAGGGATGAGTAAGACAGGTTTTGGAGAAAGCCCTTTGGAGGCAGGAGGAGAGGCCAAGCCAGATTGGGAGAAGAAGATGGAATGATTTCCTAAGCAGGGAAATGAGAACTAGATGGAGGTCATAAACAAAGGTGTGGTTCCCTCACTCAACAACCTTAATGCTCTGGCTAGGATATTTATTAGGGACCTTCAAGACTGGCCTTCCTACCTTCTTGTCTCCCTTCATCCCTTTGTTTTTTTCTTTTGTTCTTTCTTTCCAGAGGAGGAAATAAGCCTAGAAACTTGAAGAGCAGCCTGAAGTCACACAGCTGATTAGTGAAAGTCAGCAGAAAGCTGGCTGTGTCTCTGATGAGGTTGTGAGTAGGGGTGGGTGAGAGGATGGTTCCAGGAAGCCTCAAAGAGTGACATTTGAGTTTAGTGAGGAATGTCCAGGCAGGCAGAAGAAAAGCAGGGCTTTTAGAATAGGATTGGTGTTGCTTCCTTCTACAGTCATGGCCTCCTTTAAGTTATGAGGTTTTCTAGAAATGATGAAAATACTTCTTGCTTTTGGTAACTTGGGGAGTTTTCTTAAGAAGGGAAAATTAAGCAACTCTGAAGGGGGAAAAAAAGACTTTTCAAGATGAGCTCAAAGGAATACATTTAGACCTAGGTTTATACAGCTTATAGGAGCTACATCTCCTGTCATGTACATCCAGAGGCCTAGTGGGTTGAATGGTGATCCCCCACTGGAAAACACATATTCATGTCCATATTCCCAGAAACTGTGAAAATGTGACTTTATTCAGACAAGGGGTCTTTGCAGACATAGTTAACTTAAAGATCTCAAGATGAGGTCATTCAGGGTGGTTCCTGAATCCAATGACAGGTGTTCCTAGAAGAGAAAGACAGAAGAAGATTAGAGACGCAGGCACATAGAGGAAGGCCACATAAAGATGGGAACAGGGATGGAAGAGATGCCACCAGAAGTCAAGCGGTGCCTTGAGCTACCAGAAGCTGGAAGAGGTAAGGGAGGGAGGGTCCTCCTCCTTGATTTTGGACTTCCAGCCTCCCGAACTGTGAGAAAAAAAATATATACTTTTTTTAGAGACAGGGTCTCACTTTGTTACCCAGTCTGGGGTGCAGTGGCGTGGTCATAGCTCACTGTAACCTCAAACTCCTGGATTCAAGCAATCGTCCCACCTCAACCTCTTGAGTGGCTAAGTAGCTACAGGCATGTGCTATATGCCTGGCTAATTTAAAAATATTTTGTCTAGAGGTGAGGGTCTTACTATGTTGCCCAGGCTGTCATCTACAGTCCTAGAAATGGCAGCTCTAAGAAATAAATGTAAGGGGGGACCATCTATTTTTTTCTTACTGTTTTTTCCCTTTGAATTCTTATTTTTCTTCTTCCTAGCTTTCAGGACCAGCATTTCTAAATCAAACCCTCTCTGACCACCCAGATTCTCTGGAGTAAAGATTCAGCATCTCAGGAGGCAGCAATAAACAGTGGTAAAGAGTGCAGGTTCTGAAGTCACATTGTGCAATATTGGGTGAGTTATTTATTCTGTGCCTTGATTTTTTTTCACATATAAAATGGGAACATTAATTTTGCTTAACTTCCCAGAGTGTTGGCGAGGACTGAAAATATATGTGTGTCTACACACACACACAGACACACACACACACACACACACACACAAAATTAATATTTAATAAAAAATAATAGAAAAGTTTACATATTCAACATATGTTCTGGATCATTATTTCTCATTTGACAACAGCAGATTATTACTAGGGTCATCACATAATTTATTATCCAAACTGAAACAGCTTTGAGGTGAAAGAGGGGTTATAATTACATTGGGAGCAGACCCCTAAGGCAACAGAGAGATGGGGCTACGCTTGAGAGGGCCTATTTTTACATGTTGGGTTATGGAGGAGAGCATTTGGTTATCAGAAAGCCACAAAAGGCTTTCTATGTAGACAACTACTAAGATCTTTTAAAAACAACTCACTGGAAGAAAAAAAAAACAAAAAAGGAAAATATACTTGCATAAATTTGGCTATTCAAGTTCTTCTGCTTTGAGATAACCGTAAATCTCCCAAACTGAATGGTGAGGAAGTTCCCATTTGCCTGCATGGTTCACTCCTTTCTGTTATAATATTAAACCATTATAACCTTAATATCATTGCTATGGGCTGAATGCTTATGTCCCCCCAAAATTCCTACATTGAAAACCCTTAAGTTGATGGTAGTAGGAGGTGAGTCCTTTGGGGGTGATTAGGTCCCGAGGATGGAGCCCTCATGAATGGGATTAGTGTCCTTATAAAAGAGACCCCCTAGAACTGCCTTGTCCCTTCCACCAAATGAGGGCATAATAGGAAGGTGTCATCTATGAACTAGAGAATGAGCCCTCTTCAGATGTCAAATCTGCAGGAGCCTTGACCTTGGACCTCCTAACTTCTAGAACTGTAAGAAATAAATTTCTGTGGTTTCTATGCTACCAGTTTATGGTATTTTGTTATAGCTGCAGGAGCAGACTAAGACATCAATTCACATGGGCAAAGGCTGGGAGGTGTTAGCGAATGTGGAACCCTTTAGAGCAGGAGCTGGGGCTGAGGAGGACAAGAAGGTAGGTGCTCTAGCACCCCTCTCCCCCCACCACCACCTGCAGGCTCAGAGCACCCCTCTCCTCTCGCCACCACCTGCAGGCTCCTCAGCGATACACTTCCTCCAGCGATAGACCCTTCTGACAAGAAACGTGCTGCTCCTGCATTTCTACCCACTCTTCCTCTGCAAGAAGTGCCCAGAGAGCTCCAAGTGTTGAAAGGCAAGTGTCCTGTGGAGGTTTCCTCTGGACTCCTGGCTGCTTTTCAAAACATATATGAAAAGACTGTAATATATTTAACTTTGAATAGTTAGCTAAACATCCCAGAATTTTGATTATCAGAGGGGATGACTCACTGGCTGCTCTGAAGTGCTTGGTCCACAACGAGCCATTTTCTATATTCGGTGAGTGCACATGCTGGATAGGCTGTTTCCATGAACCAAGCTGACAGTCTAAGAGCAAAAGGCATGAGTCCCTGTCTACCTGTTGAAACCCTCTTACAAAGACCACTGGGAAACAATGCTCCCTCTTTCACGACACGTTTATTAATGCTCAAAATAACGCTCCTTCTTTTACGGCATAAGGGAGCATTTTTTTGACAGAGATGCAGTGGTGGCTCAAAATGGGGAAGTTAATGGGTTTTTGTCGCAGGGTAGAAATTTGTAAGCGAAGTCTGGACTGGGGTTGGTCAGAATTTGTAAACAATGTGAACTTCTGGAATTGTCAGAGGTCTTGTCTCTAGAGTCTGAGTTCAGAGTCAGTGCTGAACTCTTTTTCCCGTGGTCTTGGCATCGAGCCTCTGTACATACAACACAACAATGTGCTGGTCTTAAAGCAGTTTGACCTTGCTGGTGTTGCAAGGTATGGTTTGATACAACTGATCTATTTTGCAGGTCATAGTACAGTTTTGCAGTTTGTAGTTTCAGTTGTATTTCTTATTTTTGTGGAAAGGAGAATTAATCTCCAAAGAGATGCTTCTCTTTTTATTTAGTCCAGGGACAAATTCCTAATGGAAGCAAGAATGAACACTTGTTTCCACCCGGAGTGTCCCTTTCTCTGCCTCCTCATGCTCCACCAGAGAACGTCTCAATCTTCTTGCTGAGTCAGGGATCTTCAACAATCTGGCCTCCACCACTCACCACACACGATCATCACTCACCACCTCCATGAACATAACCCAACCTCCATCACCATCACCCACCATCACCCTGCCCACTTCCATGGCCCACCCTTTCACCATCCCACCACTCCCAACCAGTACCACTTATTAAACATAGCCAGCAACTGTGCTATGTGGGTTTGCCATGCTCATTTTATTCAATCTTCACTCCAGCTTTATCATGTAGATTAGTGGTTCTCAAATAGAAAGATATTGATGCCTGGCTTCTCGCCCAGAAGTATTGAATCAAGTTATTGGATTAGGGTACAGGAATGTGTATCTTACAAGTATTTCAAATGATTTTGATGCACAGATAACATTTGAGAACCACAGATGTAAACAATATTATCTTTGTTATACAGATGGGCCAAGGGAGAGGAGATTAAAAATGATTTACCCTGCAATCCCAGTAAAGGCTATTTTGAAGATGTTTGAGGAATAGTCTTAAAGAACCAAGAACAGCAGCTAGGGGCAGTGGCTCATGCCTGTAATCCCAGCATTTTGGGAGACCAAGGTAGGAGGATTGTTTGAGCCCAGGAGTTCGAGACCAGCCTTGGCGACATGGTGAAATGCCATCTCTACCAAAAATATGAAAATTGGCTAGTCTCAAAATAAATAAAGAAATAGATTAAAGCTTAAAAATAAAAAATATGAAAAAAAGAATCAAGAATTACTTCTCTTTAATGAACACCTAATCTATTGTTTATCTCATTTTATAGAGGAGGAAACTGAAGACTAGAAAGGTTAGATCAATTTCCTAAGGTCACACAGCTCATAAGGGGAGAACCTGGGTTCAGAAGCAAATTCTCCTGACCCCACATGCTGTGGTCTTTACTGGATACTACAGCGGTCTCCAGGAAGCCCCTCTCAGGGTGGCCTAGGTGTTTCTTTGTTATACAGACACCCTGACCATATTTCAGCTTCTATACCATGGAAACACAGTTTTCACACCAAGAACGATGTCCTCTCTGCTGTCCTAGACTTTAAGAGCATGGGGTGTCATTGTCACCTTCCTTTTTCCACAGCAGCTCCTTTTAACCCCCAACAGGCCTCTGTCCTCCCTGGTACTCAGGTGTAAGATGTCAATATTTTTTCTCCTTTTCCCCTTTTGTCCAGTGATCACCTCCTTTTCCAATATATTATTTTCCCCTGTCTTTCTCCAGTTTCACTGCTGTTGCTCCAGGTCCTCACACTCTCTGAATCTTTGTGAAGCCCTCTAACTGGCTTATTGACACCTCCAGTTTCTTCTCCTTGTTACCCACCCTGTACTCAATGAAAGATTTATCTTCTAAAAATACTTTTGTTGTTGCTCCTGGCTCCAAAACCCTATGAAGCCCTAACTGTTCATACAAAGCCCTCCCCAAGAGAGCCAAATCTACAGATTCATTAAAAAACAAATAAATTATAACAAACCTGATTTTGTTTTAAAATTCCTGCACAAATAGCTAAGCAATTCTGACATTCTACTCAATATTTGGACTCTTGCTGAAACACTAATGGATTGTCTTCAACACATGTCAGTGTTAATAAAAATCAGAGTGAATGTGGATATAAACACATGCTCTAATTTCATATAACACAACACATAATATTTATTGTTTCCTTTCTTAGACATCAATTTCTATGTAATTTCTATGATTTTTGTAATATCTATTTCAATCTAGCTTTCAAAAGTATCTTTTATGTGTGTTCTTTGCTGTTTCAAGAAATAGTTTTTTACTTTATATTCCACTTGAGATATCTAACCTAGTAAAGTCATATGTACTTATTCATAACCAGTGAGTGTATAAATCAGAACCATTAATCCCAATGAGAAAGCTATAATCAGCATTTATAAATTTATATAAAAAGGAATCTTTAACTCGTTCAGGAAACATCTAAATACTGAATATATCACGAACACCCCCTACCCTTGCAAATAATTAATTGTTAGATTACATTGACAATTCTCTAACTTCAGACATGATTTTCATTTCTGTCATAATGTAGAACTTTAATTCACCGGTTGTTAAATTAGTTTATAAACGTAGTGTAAAAACCAACATGGCTTTAAATGCTATTTTCTGGCAGAACGCCATTCTGTGTGTCAGAGTGACCCTGAGTAATCTGCAAGCAATTCCTTTCACTCACTCTTGTCTCAAATGCTCAGAAAGTCTCAACTTTCTGATTTACTGGGCTGAATTCCAGCTTGGAGCATGTGTTAGGCACAGTTACCTAGCCACTGAAACAAAGAAGGCACTGAGCGGCTGCAGGACAGCGCTAGACATAGGCACATGTCCCTGCCCTTCCCTCCTGTTTCTGAACTGCTGTTAACTAGTTTTCTGGCTCTTTGCTTACTCTGTTTGAGCGACCGGACTGTTTTCCTCAGTAGGTTCTGAGATACCCTCCGTGATGTTTGGGTTCTCAGGGACACCTGCTCTTTGGCTGGGTACCGTAACCTTGGCTCATTGCCCCGCCTTCAGGGTTCAGGCAGTGGACATATGTCCACCCTTGAAGAACCTGGTGGGGGACCTGTCACACTACATTTATTATAGAAAATTTCAAACGTATGCAAAAGTGGAGAGACTGGTATAATGAACGTCATGTACTACTCATCATCATGTTTTACCAGCAATTAGCTTCCAGCTAATCTCATTTCATAACACAGTCATCCCTCCTTATCCATAGGGAATTGGTTCTGGGACCTCCCACTGATAGCAAAATTTTCAAATGCTCACATCCCTGATATAAAGTGACATAGTATTTGCACATAACCTATGCACATCCTCCCATATAGTTTAAATCACCTCTAGATTACTTGTAATACCTAATAAATGTAAATGCTATGTAAGTAGTTGTTACACTTCATTGTTTAGGAAATAATGACAAGAAAAAAAGTTTGTACATGTTAAGTACAGATGCAATTTTTCCCCCAAGTATTTTTGATTTGTAGTTGGTTGAGTCCATGTATGCGAAACCCACAGACAGGAAGGGCTGACTCTATCTCCACTTAAAAAAAAACAAATTCACTTATTTATCTTCTATTCCCCTTCTTTTCACAGGGGTCGCTATCCCCACGCTTGTCTCTCCATCTTCTAAATATTTTGAAGCAAACCCCAGAAATCTTAACATTTTATTTTAAAATATTTCAATATGTATTTTAAAGATAAGCAATTTTAAAAATAACTAAATACAACTACCTAAATTATTAATAATTCCTTTATACAACCAGATAACCAATTAGTGTTCACATTGATCTTATTCTATCTTAATTTATTTCTTTTTGTACAGTAGTTGTTTCAACCAAGATCCAACTAAGGTCCAGACTTTGTAACCGGTTGGCATGCTTTAAAATCTCTTTTCATCTTCCGGTTTCCCCTTCCTCTTTTTATTCCCTCTTTGTGACTTATCTGTTGAACGAGCAGGATCATTTGTTTGTAAACTTTCCTGCTTTCTGGATTTTGCTGGTTGTATGCCTATGGTATCATTTACTTTGTTTCTCTGCTGCCTGTATTTATTGCAATTTGGTAGCAAGACATAAAATCTTGATCAGATTCAGGGTCGATTGTTTTGGTGAGAATATTTCCTAGATGGTGTTGTGTACATCCATCAGGAGGCACAGGCTATCTGGACAGCTGTCATTTTGTATGGTTAGTAGCCATTAGTGCTTAGTGCTTAGATCTATGCTGTCCAACAAAAATATAATGCAAGCCACATATGTCATTTAAGATTTTCTGGTAGCCATTACCAAAAATAAAAGCCAATTAAGTTAAATTAAGCGATTGCTTTAAGGGATATACTACAAGTACCAAAAATAAAAGCCAATTAAGTTAAAATTTTAAGTGTTTATTGTGCATTGAAAAAACCCCGAAAAAGTCTCCTGGTTTGATAAGCAGGAGACTTGATGCCAAAAGTGGTGAGCAGCTCGGCTCACAGCATTCACAGTGCAGGTTCAAAAGCCTCAATGAGGAAGTACATTGATCTTTGTTGTGATTGGCTATTAAAACGTACATTTCTTTTAGGACAAGTGGGGCTGTATTAGCTTATTTGTCTGTAGCTGATTGGTTCAGAATTCAGAAAGAAAAACGTGAAGTTTTGTTTGTGATTAGAACTAATATTTCAGGAAAACCATGATAGCTTAACTTTCAGGGATGTGGCTGCAGGCAGTTGGCCTAGTGATCTATCCAAACAGTGGCCTCCATTTGGAATTTTTCTTAACACTAAGTTTTTAAAAAGTAAAAAAAGAAAAACGGTTGTCTTGTTTCTGAAATAGTGCTAGAATTCTATGGATGAGATGAAGTGATACTGTTCTGTAACCTGAATTCATATCAGCAAAGTGAGTTCAGTTCCCTTCGGTGTACAAAAGCTGGGATCTCTTCTGATTATGAGAGTGACTTCTCCCCAAAATAAACTACAAATTAAGTACATGTGGGATAACCATCATTTCTGTAGAAATCTCATGACATATGTGGGCTGCCATTTTCCTTTTATAAAAAGAAATCCCAATATCTGAAATAGCTGATGTAACTGGTTGAGTGGGGATGAAGGGGCAGGGCTGGGGGTCTGTTGGTATTACTTGCCAATAGGTAAGTCTTTTATAGAAGAGATAACTGGGGAGAGTTGGAGCTGTGTCATATCTGAAAGTGATATGCATCTTGTTTTTTCACATCAAAAATAATCAACCTAAATATAAAATAATAAATCCTAAACTTGGAAATTGTAATATATCCCTTAAAGCAATAGCTCCACCTATCCGGCAGCCAAGTCAGTGCCTGGTTAGCTTCAGTTTAGTTATACTATTAAACTTGGACATGGAGGGAGCCTCAGAGGAAGAGATGCATGAGGGAGCTGACTCCAGTCTTATTGGTGAGATTGGGCCATGTCTAATATCATACAGACTCCAGAATAGGAAGAGCCTCAAATTACAAAGCCTGAGAGTGTAGTATTCAGGATGATGGAGATAAGTGGGTTAAGAATATAATTGCCAAATCAGGCAAATACAGACCAGATAAGACATTTATCTCAAGTTCTTAGGGTTCTTATTACTGCACACATGAGGCTTCTAAAACACAGGTAGAAATGTGTGGGAAGATGCAGCTTGCTGCAGATGCAAATACCAAGAGAAGGGGATATTCTAAGCAGTGTTAAGTGCTTCAGGCAGGTCAAAACAGCAGAATGATTTAAAATTATTGAAAATGAAAATTATTAATATGCATTAAGAAGCAATTTCTATAACATAGTAATTCTTTTTTTTTTTTTTTTTTGAGACAGAGTTTCACTCATGTTACCCAGGCTGGAGTGCAATGGCGCGATCTCGGCTCACCGCAACCTCCGCCTCCTGGGTTCAGGCAATTCTCCTGCCTCAGCCTCCTGAGTAGCTGGGATTACAGGCACGCACCACCATGCCCAGCTAATTTTTTGTACTTTTAGTAGAGACGGGGTTTCACCATGTTGACCAGGATGGTCTCGATCTCTTGACCTCGTGATCCACCCGCCTCGGCCTCCCAAAGTACTGGGATTACAGGCTTGAGCCACCGTGCCCGGCCCATAGTAATTCTTAAACTCTAGACTTCTAGCCCCCGTTACTAGAGATTCTGATTCTTTGATCAAATAGTGTTCAGAGATGTGCATTTTAAATATACCTCAGGTAATTCTTAGTAGATTAGAGGAGGTTTCCTTAACTTGACCAAGGATACTTATAACAGACTTACAGCAAACAATATACTTAATGGTGATGTTGTAGAAATATTCCCATTAGAGACAGGAATAAGAAGGGCAACTATCATCGATTCCATAGCCAATGGAATAAAACAAGAAAAAGAAATAAGAAGTAAAAGATTGGAAAGAAACATATAATAAGCTACTGTTGTTTGTAGATGCTATGATTGTCTACACCAAAAATCCAAAAGAATCTACAAAATATGAGAACTAATAAAAGATTTCACATTTTGGCTGGATACCAAATCAACATACAAAGATAATAGCTTTCCCACACACAACAATAACCAATCAGAAACATTAGAAAAAAAATCTCATTCACAGCACCAAGGAAGCAGTAAGACACCCACACATAAACCTATCAAAAAGTGTGCAAGTTTTCTGTGAAGAAAATACTTTGAGTGAAAGGTTTCATCTCTTTCATGTTTTGTCTCCTCTTTCTCGTTCCCCCTACCCCTTCTTGTCTAGTGGCTTGCATCTCCTCCCACCTTACTTGGCCCCTTTTCCAGAACCAAGTCTTACAATAGTAATCAGAGTTCTCCCTCCCTCAGGGATGGTGAGTTGTCACAGATCCCAGACCCTGGTCTGAGACGGTGTCTCTGGACTCCCACATATATAGGCTGCAGCTTACAAAGATGTGTACCCTTAAACGGCAATTGTCAGTAATATTTTCTAGCTTCCTTTTGCCACCCCAAGAGAGAGTAAGGTGATAAAAACTCCTGACTTCGGTTCCCTGTTTCCTGTGAAGTATTTTAGGTTTCTTTCTTCCCAGGATCTGAACTTTTAGCTGTGATTCCCTCCATCTGGGCCCAGAGCCCAGCAAGCTCACAGCTCCATTCAGGATCACTTTTAAATATTTTGTTCTCTTTCTAATCAATACAGATGCTTATCTCATATTAGAACCTTGTTATGTATTTTGTGTGTTTTCACTTTTCATTTGATTGCTATGTTGTTTGGAGTGGCAGGAGTTATCAAGCATGAACTCACTGCCCATCTTGACCAGAGAGACTTCATTCCTTTTCTTGAAGAACAAAAGTAAGTAGAGAATGAGAAAAGACACATTATTTTTCCAAATGGTTACTGATTAACACCAATATATGTAAACATATCTTTAAACATTCCTTTGGGAAATGGGCAAGATGAAAGTGAGGGTTTGATCAAGAAGGAATGAAGGAAAGGGAGACCTAGGAGCTTTGGAGCTGGGCAAAGAGGCAGGGAATGAAGAGGAAACCCTGCTTATGAGCACCTGCTCCTCCTTGGGCATCTTGAATGTTGTCCTTTTTTTCAGTGTGGACAAGAACCCTTCTCCTATTTCTCCTCCTCTTCTGGTTCCTTATTCATTCTCTTCTTTTTCCTAAGAAAGGGAAGTCAAGGGCTGTGACTTCTTTTTTGTTTTTTCCTCTTGGATTCTCACAAAGCAGAGGCCCAAAGATGCTCCCAGGATTCCCTTTTTTCCTGAATACCCATCTCGAAGTCAAGAAATTAATCAGAAACACAGTTCTCCTCAAAGCCCAGTTCAAGACTTGCACTGATAAACTCTTACTTTCTTTAGCAGTGTTTTTGAATGCCTATTATGTGCCAGGCTCAGAGAACCCAAAGGAAGAGTCACAGATAAGAAATGAAAAATGACATTGAGCAATCACCTACTCTGAAGCCATCCTTGATCATGGAGATGCCCCCTGATTTCTAAACACCTCTTCCAGCTTCTCACTTCTTTTCCCCACCCTGCCACCAAGAAAAAAAGAGGCAGCTCTCTGGTTAAAGAGCTAAGGTCCCTACTTATTTCTGGGTCTTTTGTTTCACAGTGAGGACCCTGGCTCTGGAAGCATCTCTGCTTTGGCCCCTGGCCATTCTCTGATGAGGTCACCTGAAGAGGCCAGTGCTGTCACTGCGGCCACCACCAGTCTGCCAGGGCCTGTCCTGGGGCTCATCCAAGCCCCAGCTCCAAGAGGCAAACTGCAGATGTTTCTTCTATTTTTAGATGCTGGGATATTGCCCATGAAGGAGCCAGTGACCTGGAAAAGCCAATTCTCCCTCCAATCTCTGTTTCTGACTTTCTCATTTCCCTTCATTGTTCTACCAGATTTTTCCTTCAACTATGGGACTGGCATGAAATGACCCGGAGTTAACTGAGCTGGACCTTGGTCTGGGGACACAGATCCTGACATCTCCTGTACCTACCAGGACTCTGGTCACCAAGACTGGTTTTAGGGATAACAGATTGAACTGTTTGTTACATTAGGGGCCTCCAAAAATTTCTGTCATGCTTTCCTATCAGTAAAACACTGATAGGAGCACCCATTCTAGTTTTTGCTTATGTATTTATTTGTAAATTTTATACAAGTACGTTTGTACTAATGTATATTATAAAGCTCATACAGAAAGTAGGAGATGTATAGGCTGAAACAGTTCTAAGGGATTAGAAGTTGTCACATTCTTTTTTTGTGCCCATGGGTCTTCTGGCATCCCCTCTGTGGAAATCACTGCTCTGCATAGCTAAATGAGAAAATTTTTAATTTTTTTGAGCTGCATGCTAGCTATTGTTGATTTAAGGAATAATGGAAAGGTTTTTGTTGGCTAAAGTATCTTCTCTTTTCCAATAAACAGCAAGATCTGAAATTTCTCTATTATGGAAGTGGTAACTTTGGCTTAAGAATTGCCTTCTCTCTGAGGTCTCTTAAATCACAAATCCTTTTGAAAGAAGTTGGAGAAGAAGCATGTTACATCTCTGGTTCTTTAGGTCAGTACTTCAGTTGGGCTGTTTTCCTCAGAGCCCTGGATGCCCAGCATAGTGTCTGGCATGGAGGAAGAGCTCAATATAAACATTTGTTAAATTAGCGTATGAGTGTGGGAAATTCAGAGAAGGGAAAGATCAAGAAGAGCAAGAAGGAAGCTAAGGTGCTGGAAGGCAAACTGAAGCTGAGTTTTCTCTTCTTTCTAATTTTGCTCAGTGCCGGAGAGGTTTCTTCTCTTCCTGTGAGTATTTAGCACAGTGTGGTTCCTTCCAGGGCAGGGCTTCTCTTGCTCTGAGAGTTTATTTTCCAGGAATGCAGGAGTATTTGGGTTGTTCCGGAGTAGAAAATGGACCCTCTGCAATCTTGCCGTCTGGAAAGAGGACTAACCTATTCCTGCCTTTCTGAATAAGCCAAGCAGGGTCACTGTCCCCATTCCTTGCCACCTTCACTCTGTTCTTAGAGCAGCCTATGATGAGGGTGGGACGTTATATCCACAGGTGGTTGCAGGGCTTTTGTGGTTTGCAAAGAGGGATCTGGTCCCTTTTGGCATCCTCAGGACATTTTTTGTAGGCAATAAATTTCTTTTTCCAGAGAAGCGATACATGTTGAAATAGATTCTACCCATCTAGTCAGCCTTGGACAGGATTTTGTTGCTTGTTTGTTTTTTGATTTCCCCCATCCCCCTACCAAAAAAGAGGTAGGGGGGTGTGTGTGTGTGTGTGTGTGTGTGTGTGTGTGTGTGTTAAGCAGCACCAATTTAGTTGGAATTGTACTGAATTTATAGATTTACTTAGGGAAAATTGACATCTTTGTAATACTGAACTACCACAAATTTAGGCAAATAGTATGTTTCTATGTCTCTCTATTTATTTAGGCCTTCTTTAATGCCTCTCAGCCAGCCACTTATTATAAGTCAGCTGAGTTTTTATTTGTTGAATCCCAGGAATTTTACGTTTTGTTTTATTATTGTGTACTAGTTATTCTTAATTGATACTTGCAAGTTGGCATCTTTAGTTTTCTAGACAAATTGTTAAGGATTGTTTTCTCAGGTTCCTAAAATTTCAGCTACTATTTGTTTGGAATTGCATAGATTTTACTTATTAGTTTGTGAAAATTTAGAGCTCTACCTTTACTTTTACCTTTACTCATTTTCTTCATTATTTTAAACAAGCTTGAAAGCTTTGGTAGAGTTCTAAACTTCTCTCTTTAGAAGTATGTGCATTCTTTATTAGCTTATTTACTAGATGTTACAAATTTTGTTGCTAGTGTGAATAATGGCTTATTTTTTGTGTTTTAATGTTGGCAAGTGTAAAAATGCTATTGATTTTTCTAGATTGATTGATTTTTTAAAAATCTGACCACAAGCCATTTATTACAAAAGTAATTAATTTCTTAGCGTTCAAAACCTTCTGGGAGAAGCTTTCCTGGCCTGGATGCCTGGATGAAGGTCCAGGTTCTTTTTTTTTGCTATTGTTTTGAGACGGAGTTTCGCTCTTGTTGCTCAGGCTGGAGTACAATGGCTCATGACCTCAGCTCACCGGCAACCTCCACCTCCCAGGTTCAAGCAATTCTCCTGCCTCCCAAGCAGCTGGGATTACAGGCATCTGCTACCATACCTGGCTAAATTTGTATTTTTAGTAAAGACAGGGTTTCTCCATGTTGGTCAGGCTGGTCTTCAGTTCTGATCTCAGGTGATCTGCCCACCTTGGCCTCCCAAAGTGCTGGGATTACAGGTGAGAGCCACCGCGCCTAGCCGGAGATCCAGCTTCTTAAGCCTCAAACTCAAATTCGAAGTACTGTGGGCCGAAGTAGTGGATACAACGTAACCATCTTCGCCACCACTGCTGTAGCTCTTGCCATCAGGTTGGAAGGCAAAACTGTTGATAGGTCCAAAGTTACCTTTGACTCTTCCAAACTCTTCTTCAAAGGCCAAATGGAAGAACCTGGCCTCAAACTTGCCAATCCTGGTGGAGGTTGTGGTTATATCCATGGCTTCCTGACCACCACCCAGGACCACATGGTCATAGTTGGGGGAGAGGGCAGCTGAGTTGGCGGGACGTTCTGTCCAGAAAGTCTTCTGATGTTCAAGAGTTGTGGAGTCAAAAATCTTGGCTGTGTTGTCCTTGGATGCCGTCACAAACATGGTCATGTCCCTGGATAACCGGATGTCGTTGATCTGCCGCAAGTGCTCCTTAATGTTCACCAATACCTTTCCAGACTTGGCACTATACTGGTTGAGCTCTCCACTCTTATGGCCAGCGATGATGCACTCTCCCTGGGGTCCCCAAATGGCACTGGTGATTTTAGAGTCATTGCAAGGGATCTTCACGTAGGGCTCGTTGTTATCAATCTGGCTCGGATCCCGAAGATCAAAGAAGCTCACAAAGCATTGGTAGCCCATCTACTTGTCTGTGGAGAACATGATGATGTTGCCGCCAGAGTCAAAACCGCAGGCCCGGACAGCCGAATTGGTCTTGGGTAGGGCCAGCTACTTTCCTGTTTCACAGTCCCAGAGATGACAGCTGTTGTCAGCTGAGCCAGTAAGGACATGTTTGGTGTTCCAGTCAGCATGCACATACCACACAGCTCTGGTATGGCCCATGTAGGTGCCCAGTCTCTGCCATTCACAGAGTACCATACATTGACGATAGGGTCCTTGGCCACAGTAAAGAGGAGGTCTCCTTTGCCGTTATACTTAATCTGTGTAATGGGCCACTCATGGCCCTGCAGCAGGATTGGCTTCTTCCCTGGCGGTGACATGAGGAAGGTTGAAACGTGAGTCGATTGATTTATTTTTTTAAAAAAATTTTCGTAGATATGAAATCTTGCTATGTTGGCCAGGCCAGTCTTGAACTCTTGCTATCAAGCAATCTTCCTGCCTTGGCTTCCCAAAGTGCTGGGATTACAGATGTGAGCCACCATGCCTAGCCTTATGTAGACTGATTTTGTATCTAGCTCCCTGTTGAACGCTTAATAGATCTTTCAGTTTGTCTTTAGGTCTATTGAGATTTCTCATACATGAGCATATAACTTGAAAACAGAAATTTTATCACTTCTCTTTCAATTCTTAAAATCTCTTATTGTTGTTGTTATTATTATTAGTATTATATAGCATTAGGCAGGATATCAAAAAATGGTAGTAGTAGACATCTTTTGTGTTATATCTGATCTTATCTATTTAGTGTGATGCTTACTGTATATTTTGGACATAGCTCCTCTGCTAACTTAATGGAATTCCTGTTTATTCCTATTTTACAAAGGGTTTTTATCATATATATGTGAAGTTTCTATAAAATATTTTTTTCTGGATCTATTGAAAAATCATTTAATTTTTCTCCCTTGGTCTAGTGTATGGCTTATAGTCACAGATTTCTGTTGTTAAATTATCTCAAAATTACTGTGATAAACCTTATTTGTAATCATGATTTTAAAAAGTGTGATGTTGAATTCAGGTTGCTTATATTCTATTTTGGATTTATAAGTAAAAAAGAACTATTTTTTTTTCCACCTCTATTCTTACTAGTTTTTAGATTAATCTAATAGAATAAGTTGTGCTGCTTTTTGTTTTTTTCTTACTTTCTGGAAGAAATTTTCCAGACAGGAGTACTTTGTTATTTGAAATATCATTTGTAAAACCACCTAGCCTACAAACAAAAAAATTATTATTATTATTTTGCTTAGAGATGTGGTAGGGGTGTCTTCTCTGTTGTATTTAACCATTTCAATTTTTTTGTTATTGGTTGCTTCAAATTTCTGATTTTTCTTGGGCTAGTTTTATATTTTATATTTTTCTATAAATATATCTATTTTGTCAGTTTTCATTTAATAAGTGAATAGTTAATAATATTTAAAAATTATTTTAATCTCTTTGGTAGCTGCAGAATATTTTTCCCTTTTGAATTTTATATTTTTGCATCTTCTTTTTGATCAGCTTTTGCTGGAGGTTGGTACAGCTTAGCAATCACTTCAAAGGTTCAGCTTTTGTTTTAATTATTCTTAATCGATTTTGCAGTTACTGCTGCTGTAGTCACTACTTTATTGAATTCTGCCTTTATTTTCTTTCTTATTTTTTGTGTTCAGTCTATTGTTCTTTCTCTAATCTTTTCAGTTAAAACCTTAGCTCATTTGTTTTCAATAGCATTTTTTTTTCCCAGTAAATTTATTGAGAACTATAAATTTCATTCTCTGGTCTGCTTTTGCTGTGTCTCTGAAATTCTGGCGTGTATTTTCTTTCATCATCATTTGGTTCCAAGTATTTTATGATTTCTTTTGTATTTTCCTATTAACCCAAACATTATTATTTTACTACTTAACAGAAGTACAAAGCTTTAAAGTTATTTTATTCATAATTTATAATTTTAATCCATTGTGTTAAGATAACAATGTGAATGATGATGATTTAGGGAGAATGTACTGAGGCTCCCTTCGTGATCTGGTAAATGTTAAATTTTTTGAATATTTTATGTGTGCTCAAAAATGTTCTCTCTCTTCTTATTGATGGTTGTAAAATTCTCATATAATTATTATTTCAAGTTTATGAATCATGCCATTCAGATCTCCTCTATAATTGCTTATTTTTTTGTCTACTTATCCCATCAGTTAATCAGATGACTACAAAAAAAAAATCAAACTATGATTATTATGTGGTTCTCTCTTTAGTTCTGCTGGTTGTTGCATTTTATACGTTGAAGGTATGTTTTTAAGCAGATATACATTCACAATTGTTTTATCTTTCTGATCATATTTTCATCTATTGTTTGACATGAAATTTGCTCCCCTGTCTTATTTGGTTCAAAGTTGCATCATATAGCTTTTCCATCATTTTATTTGTAACCTCTCTGTCACCTTTTGTTTTATAAATATTCCTTTTAGAAAACCTATCACTAGATATTGCTTCAAAAAAACTCAGTCTGCAAGTGCCTGTCTGTTGATTAGTGAGCTTAATCTGCTTGTCAATTGTGTTAGTTTCCTAAGGCTGCCATGACAAAATAGCTCGCGCTGAGCAGTTTAAAACAGCAGTAGCTTATTGCCTCATAGTTCTGGAGGATTGAAATCTGAAATAAGGTGTTGGCAAGGCTATTCTCTCACTAAAGTATTTAGGAGGAATTTCTTCTTTGCTTCTTCCTAACGTCCAGGGATTTGCTGGCAATCTTTGGGGTTCCTTGGCATGCAGCTGCGCAGTTCCAATCCCTGCCTTCATTGCCACATGACGTCTCCTTGTGTGTCTCTCTCTCTTCATATGGCATTTTCCTCTTCCTATGAGGACACCAGTCCTCTTAGATTAGGGGCTCACCCTACCCCAGCATGACTTCATCTTAATGTAATGAATTACATCTGCAACAACCCTATTCTAAATAAGGTTACAATATGAAGCACTGAGGGTTAGAACATCAGTAAATCTTCTGGAGGAGACGCGATTCAATCCATAAAACAAATTATGTAATTAATTGTATATTAAGACTTATTTCAGGCACCTGACTTCTAATTTATATAATATCTTTTGCTTTCCTCTTCCTTTTTCCTTTCTCATCTTTCATTGAATAGAATTTTTTTCTGAGGGCTGGAAAAGTTTGAATTCCATTATCTATACTCGGTAGTTATATTTAACTTTAAAAATCATATTCATGTTTTTTTTTCTCATCAATTCTCAATAACATTTATATCATTCTCTATAACAAAATGACACTCTCACTTTCCACTGGCCTCTTTGCAGCCCCCATTTGTTCGTTCACTGCCCACTAGTCATGTTGATGTTGCCTAAAATTTTATTTCCAGGTGGTTATGAATGTTTTGGACACACACACACTCTCTCTCTCTCGTTTTCTCCCTCTGCCTCTCTCTCTATTGTTTTATACTTGAATTAACTTTTCTATGTTATGTATCCATGTGTGTTTCCTTTTTAGCTGATAGTAGTCTCATGGATTTATTTCTCTTCTAACTGGGATACATTCTCTCAGAATATTTTAGAAGAGAATTTTCTGTGTTAACTTCCTTAAGCCTTTTATTCCGGAGATTATTTTTATGACATCTTCTTATTTAATGTTTTTTGAATATAGATTTGAGGCTTGAAGTTCTTTAGTACTTTAAAAATATTACATACCTGTCTTTTTGCCTCTATTGTCATTGTTGAATAGAAGTTAGATATCAATCAGATTCTTATTCCTTTATGGGTGATCACCTTTTTTTCTTTAGCAGCTTTTAGAATTTTGACTTTGTGTTTTTAAATTTCCCTATAAAGTATCAAGGTTTTTAATAATATATATCTTATTAGACATTCCATAAACTCTTCAGTCTGAAGTCTTTCATCTTTCTTTAATACTAGAAAATCTTTGGTTATTTTTTCTTTGACACTTCTCTTTCTTCATTTTTTCTTAAGGACTTCCTATTACACAGATGGTGACACTTTTATCTTTTCCTTCACAGCTTCTAATTATGTTATATTTTCCAACTCTTTGTTTCTTCTCAGTGTTTGCTGGGAGAGTCCATCAACCTGATAATCTGGCTCACTTATCCCAGCAGAATCCATTTTTATTATTTATGTCATTTATTGGATTCTTTATTTCAATAATTAAATTTCTGGCATCCAATGTTCCTATTTGGTTCTTCTTTGTAACTGCTTTATCTTGCTTGATGTTACCATTATCTTTCCTTTTCTTTATTATGCTTATTTTAAATTATTAAGCTGTGTGATGTCATTGGTTCTAATTTATCTTCTATAGGTTGTGCAGTTTGTTTACTTTCTAACGGTGATGTTATTCAGATGTCTGGTAATTTTTGCTTGGGGATTCATTTTCCCCAGGGGCCAGGTTATTAGCTTTTTGGTTTAAATTGTTACTGGGAAAGAGGCCCATGCCTAGGCCCCAGCATGCACTGCTCCCGTGGGCTTTAAGAAAGGAGCATGGCAATGAGAGGTGCTCACACCTCTACCTGCCCTCCAGCCTTTGCTAAGTGCTCAATGGAGACCCTGCTTGCTGGGGGTAAGGGCAGCATTCCGAGCACTCTTGTGTTCTGAGGAGTGTATCTCCTAACTGGGAGAGTGTTCCTAACTGGCAAGCCTGATGAGTGTGGAGGAGTGTGGGGAAGAGAGCGCTCCTAGGGGCTTGCTGGTGTCCTGCACCTGCTGTGTCCTGCTTTTGGGCTTAGTCTCAGTTGCTTCCTCGGCACTTCTCCCACTCCTTCTGTGGTGCCCTCTGGAGCTGTTGTTTTTCTATCCTGTAGGGGCCGATGGGGGACATGACCCATCCAGGGCAGTGTGGTGCACAAACACAGCTCAGAGACTCTCCCCTAACAATGGTGCCTGGTGCTTTTCTGCTCTGAGCTGCTCTCTCCTCCCCATACTCAGATCAGAACCACCCTCTGTCTCCCTAGGGCTCCTCACAGTCTTTACTTAGGTTCTTCAAATCTGTAGTTTTCCGTTTACTTCTGAGGTATCCCCAGGGTTGGAATAGAGGATGAAACTTGCAACCCATTTGCAGCTCCACACCTCCACCTACTGCGCCGCCTTTTGCTTCTGAGTCTTCTGCCCCACCCCTACCCCATCTCCAGGGAAACCTTCACATTTCACAGTTCCCTCTTCAGGCAACAGGGCTGCATTTTCCCTGTGCTGCTTCATTAGTCACTGCTTCTTCTCCTGCTTTCCATCTTCAAAACAGTTCTAAAATTTCGAGTCTACTATTGACTCCTCTCTAGTTCATATTATCTAGATGTGTTTGCACATCTTTTTCTTCTGCTTTACTTTCATATTTGTAGGATTTTATGAAGTAGAGAAGTAGGAGCATT